GACGTTATATCATCACATAGCTCATAGTGATGGTTGTCGGTTAGGAAAACTCCCACAGAGATATTTTGTACTCTTATATACACAGAGCTTATTTTTGTATTTTCATAAACAAACAGAGTTTATATTGTATCCTTGCATACAAACTGAGCTACTATTGCATTTTTCAATACACTGAGTTGCTATATATTGTTTTAAAAGCTTTCCATTTATTGCAACTTTTATTGTTGATTTATTTTGAGTTGAGTATCTAATCTAGAGTTGAACATCTTATTATTGAGTTGAGTCTTCTTTCATTGAGTTGAGTTGGACTATAATTCACTGAGTTGAGTACCATGTTTTTGAGTCGAGTCTTATTTCACTGAGTTGAGTATCTTATCCTTGAGTACTTCTAAGTTGAGTAAGTTTGAGTACCTTTGAGTATCCTTGAGATTGAGTTGAGTTGAGTGAGTATGAGAAGAGGTAAGTATGTTTCTTTTTTATCAAGTTCAAGCTTATGCTTATGTTTTAGAATTTCCCTTACATGCTCGTACATTCCACGTACTGATCCATTTGGCCTGCATCGTTTCATGATGCAGATACAGGTATTCAGGATCATCAACAGGTGCTTCGTTGATACCACATACAGTTTGAGTTAGCTATGGTTAGCCTCCTTGCTTTTGAAAGATTGCATTTACTTTCAGTTTTGTCAGGATGTCGTGGGTCTTGTCCCGACTTCTATCTTTATCATCTAGAGGCTTCATAGATAGACAGTAGAGCTTGAGAAGTCTGTTCATTTATTTTGTTTAAATGTTTTAAAGACTTGAGTTTCCTATTTTTGGCTAGTGAATATACTATTTTATTTAGAGTTAAGCATTTGAGTTAAAGATTTGTAATTGAGTTGATGAATTTTGTTCAGTTTTAAGCTTTTGCATGCTTAAGTTAGTCTTCCGCTTGTAGTCAGACAGGATGAGGATTCGCTTGGGACCAGCAATGGTTATTGAGTGCCGGTCACGTCCGGGGTGTAGACTCAGATCGTGACAATATATTAGACTAAAAATATTAATTTACCTCATAATTTTCACTATTCATAGAATGATAGATTCACCTTTGGGTAAATTTTTAAGTTCTAGCAATAGTGAAAGTCAACTTATCTATTTATTTTTCAATATAGGCATTTAATTAACCTTCATAGATAAATGACAATTTTATGAATGCATATTTTTCTTAACCATACTAGTTTGGCCTACAAATACACACATAATATCATAAAAATTTTGTGCATGTGAATAATTTAATACATTTTAGTTTGGCCACTAACAAACTATAGAAACATAATACATGCATCAAGTGATCATAAATATTATATGTGTAGACGTTAATTTTTCTAGTTTGGTCACTTTGGTGACTAACAAACTATATGAATACAAATACACATAATATCATAAAATTCTGTGCATGTGAATAATTTTATACATTTTAATTTGGCCTCTTTGGTGACTAACAAACTATAGAAACATAATACATGCATCAAGTGATCATAAATATTATATGTGTAGACGTTAATTTCTCTAGTTTGACCATTTTGGTGACTAACAAACTATATTGTACTAAGTGCGCACATATTATTTATTGCTTAGCATAACGACCATTTTAATTTATTGCACAATCTAAAACAAAAAATAATTATTACATTATGGAAAGATTAAGATTTTCAGAATTTATGCAATCTAAAACAAAACATAATTATTTATTTATTTAGGGGTGATGGGCAGTGACTACTTTTTATGACTTTACCAAGGCTGATGCGTTTATATAATTTATGAAGATTATACGTTCAAACAATCCAGGCTCTGATGCCACATGTAAGATTAAATACTTTAATACATATCAGGATCTTGAACACGATAATCTTACATAAAGATCGTTAGAGGTACATACATGATGCGGAAGACATCATCACAGAGAGAAGCGGAAGCGTTAGTCGTAAATTGGTTTCTACCTCCTTGCCCTAGCCTTACGTTACCACAACCGTCAGCGATGGAATTATTGTAGATAATATGTGGTAACCTTAATGGGTGGAGGGAGGACCAATTTATAGAGGTTAAGATTTAACCTAGTACGTCCATCAAGTAACCAATGTACGGACGAGATATATTCTTTATTAAATATTATTTATGGTATTACTTGGATCACAAGTAAACTTGGTCACAAGTAAACTAAGGCCATAAGTAAGAAATAATTCTTACAATTTGTGGTTGAAATCCTGCGCACTGTAGGTCGTAATTTTTACTCCCTTGAGCAAATAGTTTTTCACGATAAATTTGTGTCTTGTTAATTTTATTTCTCTACTGCTTAATGCGTCTATAGGAACAGGTTCTGAATACGTGTAGTGGGGTAAAGTATTTCTTTCAATGTCTCTAAATGATGAGGCAACACAACATTTGTGGTATCATTTTGAAGTGCCATTGGCAATCAAGGGACAATCAAGAAGCACGACTACAAGCTAAGTGGTGGAATAAAGCCTTTAGCTGTATTTATATAAAGTACTGGTTATAAATATTCATCTTTATTATCGACACTAAATATAATATAACGAAAATTAGTTGATTGATTCTATACCCTTTATTTGTGCTAGTGAAAGTTCAACAAAAGATTAAACAAGTTAATCTCAAATCTACTCACTGCCTAAGAGAGGTAAAGCTAGAAATGAATAATCAGAATAACTTTTTATTTATTTTCTACAACATCTTTTGAAGCACACATAATGGGAAAATAAGGAATATCAATTCACCACAAGGCACCATACCACAACAATTGAAATAAGTGTTAAAAGGAAAATTATGTCCATCTCTTTTTTTAAATATTTTAATGTATCTTAGTTCCTTTATAAACTAGTGTAAAAGCAGGGTCTCCTTTATTTATGTTGGATATGACAAAATGTAAATAAGAAAAGTCATCGTCCTATGTTAGTCGTTAGGTTTGCATATATCCTACGCACCTAACCCTCTGTATAAAAGCCCCATGCCTTTCCTGGTTGGATAACCAAACCCAATGAGTCTATACTCTAGCGATGGGGAAGCAAAGTCATAGTCCTCCTCTTATGTGTATTTTTTTGTTGAATGAAAAAATTTGTTGCGGCCCCCGATCAAACTAGAGCGTAAGGGCGCTTTTTTGTTTGCATGAGTCCCGGCTTCTTTCCAAAGGTAGGGATATTCGTCCAGGTCTTATTGTGAAAGAAAAAAGCCGCCCTGCCGTTGTTGAATAAGACAGTTGATAGGGAGAGACCCCTTCTCGTAGGCAGGGGAAGCTCAATAACTGTATTTTTAAGTCAGACTTGTACTAAAAAGAAAAAGTCGCAGAGGATAGTCTCTAAAAGCTACAACCGTCTCTTCTTATTATTCTCCAAAAACATACCTAGGTTTTGGCAATCACAATATTTACAATCACTATTTAATAATATTAGTATTAGAATTGTGATAAATCGAAATTCTAGATTGCAAGGTAGGAGACAATGACAAAGCCATGTGACGACATGCTAGTACAAAGTGTGGGATTGACTTTTATTACAAAAGGAACTTATAAATTTTCCTATGTCAAAACTGTTGAATCCCTTTTACCAATAAAATTTTATGATATAACATAAAATTCTAAAGGTTTATAGTTTGAAATGTACGTGTACTTTTCCATTTTTCTTAGAAACATTACTAATTTATAATAATAGATAGATGGTAATCTTTGGGTGAAATATTTAGAAGATATTTGAATTAAAATAATAATAATAATAATAATAATAACAATAATAATAATAATAATAACAATAATAATAATAATCATTTTTTTTTCAAAATAACTTTTCAACTATAGGTTGATAGTTGTGGCGGAGCCAGAAATTTTAATAAGGGGGTTCAAAATCTGAGAAGTAAACACACGAACTAGTGAAAGGGGGTTCGACATCTATTATACATACCTAAAAAATAATTTTAACCATGTATAAATAGTAATATTTTTTGTCGAGGGGGTTCGGAACCCCCTCATTATATGCTGCATCCGCCCCCTGGTTGATAGTATGTTAAACTACCACTGATAAATATACAACTCAGATTAACATAAAAGTCTAATCATATAGTGTTCAATAAAATAGGAAGTAGAGAAAATAAACAACAAGTGAAGCCGAATTTCATTCGAATCCTTTTTATTTAGAATATACACTAAATTCGTAAGAAAAAACATTACAATATCAATAAGCCAATCTCTCAAAAGAGAAACACCAATTGATTACACAGTTCAAATGACACAAGATGCAATATCATGCAATTATTGTAAAGTCAAACGTATTTTAGTTGTGAAGGAGGAGGAGATGATGTGTAATGATAACCATGAAATTTCAATGGTAGTGGAGGTGGGTTTTAGTACTAGGGTTGCCGACCAAAGGGAAATGGAAGAAATGGGAGTGGAGGTAGTCGTGGAAATGGTGGAATAATTATTTGAACTGGAGGAGGCGGGGACTGAAATGGAGGTGGTGGAGGTGGCGATGGAGGAGGGGGGGATTTTATTAAAGGTGGTGGAGGAGTACAATTAGGTGGCGGAGGTGGAGTTCGCAACCAGGGAAATGGTATTAGAAAAGGGAATAAAGATGGTGGGGGAGGAGATTTATTATTGCAAGGCGGAGGTGGAGGTGGAGATTTCGATGGAGGTGCTGGTGGGGATGGAGAAGGTGGTGGAGGTGGAGATGGTGATGGAGGAGGTGGAAACTTAGCTGGAGGTGGTGGAGATGGCGATTGAGGAGTACAATTAGGTGGCGGAGGTGGAGTTCGCAACCAGGGAAATGGTATTGGAAAAGGGAATAACGATGGTGGGGGAGGAGATTTATTATTGCAAGGCGGAGGTGGAGGTGGAGATTTCGATGGAGGGGGTGGTGGGGATGGAGAAGGTGGTGGAGGTGGAGATGGCGATGGAGGTGGTGGAGATGGAGATGGTGGTGGAGGTGGAGATGGCGATGGAGGAGGTGGTGGAGATGGAGAAGGTGGAGGTGGAGATGGCGATGGAGGAGGTGGTGGAGATGGAGAAGGTGGAGGTGGAGATGGCGATGGAGGAGGGGGGGAGTTTATTAAAGGTGGTGGAGGAGTACAATTAGGTGGCGGAGGTGGAGTTCGCATCCAGGGAAATGGTTTTGGAAAAGGGAATAAAGATGGTGGGGGAGGAGATTTATTATTGCAAAGAGGATGTGGAGGTGGTGGTGGGGATGGAGAAGGTGGGGGAGGTGGAGATGGTGATGGAGGAGGTGGTGGAGATGGAGAAGGTGGAGGTGGAGATGGCGATGGAGGAGGTGGTGGAGGGGGTGGGGAATTAACTGGAGGTGGTGGAAATGGAGAAGGTGGTGGAGGTGGAGATTGCGATGGAGGAGGGGGGGAGTTTATTAGAGGTGGTTGAGGTGGAGACGGAGATATAGGTGGAGATAAAGATGGAGAAGGAGATGGTCCATCGGTAGGTGCAATCAATGGTGGTGATGGCAACGGAGATGGAGATGGTCCATCGGTAGGTGCAATCAATGATGGTGATGGCAACGGGGATGGTCCATCAGTAGGTTCAATCAATGGTGGTGATGGCAATGGAGATGGTCCATCAGTAGGTGTAATCAATGGTGGTGATGGCAACGGAGATGGAGATGGTCCATCGGTAGGTGCAATCAATGGTGGTGATGGCAATAGAGATGGAGATGGTCCATCTGTAGGTGCAATCAATGGTGGTGATGGCAATGGAGATGGAGATGGTCCATCGGTAGGTTCAATCAATGGTGGTGATGGAAATGGAGATGGAGGTGGAGATGGCACATTGATAGGTGCAATCAATGGTGGTGATGGCAACTGAGATGGAGATGGAGATGGTTCATCGACAGGTGTAGTCAATGGGGGTGATGGCAATGGAGATGGAGATGGAGATGGAAGTGATGGTGGAGGAGGAGAATGGATTGGTGGTGGTGGTGGTGGATTATGGTAATAAGGTGGCGGTGGAGATGGAGTAGGCGGTGGTGGAGGATTATTGTAATAAGGTGGCGGTGGAGACGGAGAAGGTGGTGGTGGAGATTCGTAATGATATGTTGGAGGTGGTGGTGGTGGTGGTGGTGATGGTGGATGATGGTAATAATTTGGTGGGGGAGGTGGAGAAGGCGGTGGTGGAGATTTGTAATAATATGGAGGAGGTGGTGATGGTGATGGTGATGGAGGTGGAGGTGGAGGTGGAGGTGATTTATAATAGTGATGACGTCGCGGAGGCGGTGGTGGAGGTGAATTATAATGGTGATGACGTCGCGGAGGAGGTGGCGGAGGTGATTTATAATAGTGATGACGTCGCGGAGGAGGTTGCGGAGGCGATTTATAATTGTAACGACGTCGTGGAGGAGGAGGCGGGGGTGATTTATAATAGTAACGACGTAGTGGAGGAGGTGGTGGAGGGGATCGTGGCCTATAACGGTATGACAAAGATGATGAATCATCAATGTTAGGTTTATAATCAGCTGCTACACTAATGACTATCAAGCAAAAGGCAAAAGCATAAACAAGAAGTGGCCATTGCCCCAACTTTGATGGTGTTCCCATATTGGAACTAAACTAGTTTGTTGTTTTTGCAACATCGGTGTAAGAATTAGCTCTTTATATAGCAAGAGACCCAAACAATTGATAATGACAAGTTTTGTTTTTTTTTTTGTTAAAAATAAAAATGGCTCAAAACATTTAGAAAATCAAGTACAAACTGGCCAAATGATCTTTGAAAAATACACACTAAGTATATAGAATTTCATCCTAATTATTATGAAATAGATTCCTACTAAACTATGGGTTTAGTTCATGGTAGACCATGAATTAGTCAAGATCAAGATCATGTATCATTGTTTTGTATTTGCACTTTACATATAAATTTGTTTTTTCAAAATTTAAGTTATAGCTCCAAATTTAAATTAATCTTTTGACTTTTGGTTATCTTTGGCAAATTGGATTTCTCGAATTTCCCTATTTAAATTAGTGAACACCATACATGAGAATTATTTCGTCAAGAGGAAAAAATAGAGGAACCCAACCAAACAAAATAATTGCAACTAACTCATTGCTATTTTTATTTTGTTTAGCGTGCCATCTTCAATTATTATTTTTTTGTCCGATGATCGATACAAGTCCAAGATTCGAACTCGAAATCTCTGATTAGGGAGGAACAACCCTATTCGTTGTCCCACATCTTATTTTGGGATAAAATTATTTTCCGTAAAATACTATTTACTTTGAAACAAAGAAAATATCTGACTTTTTTAAAGTTATTTAACTTATAAGATGTGTTGATAAACTTTTGACAAAAACGCTAAATTCATAGAGTTAGTTTTAAAAAAAATTGCCAACTTATAATGGCATTTATATTTTGAAGAAGCACTAATAATAACGCACCTATGCGTTTTAAAATATATATATATATATATATATATATTTATTTATAACCAAAAAATGACTCAAATAGAAATCGATTAATTTAGTTTCGTTAAATTACTTGTCTCTAATTCAAATGTTTCAATTAAAGGCCCATTTTCTATTTATTTTTTAAATGTTTTTCTCAAAAGGGATTTTTCAAATATATGTACTTTTGGTGATAAGCAACTAATCAATTTAAAAGGCACTGACTAAATAATAATTAGTGTTTGGTCAAATTTAAAAGTGCTTTTTAAAATGATCTTTCTGGGAAAAACTAATTTTTAAATTAAAAAAAAGACAACTTTTGCTACTCTTATAAATTACTTTTTTACAAAAAACTTGATCAAATATTTTCGTTTTAAAAAACAATATATATATATCTTTGACTTCTTAAAACCTTGATCGTACAAGCTAGCACTAAGTTCATGTAAAATTAATCAAGTGTCCTTACTTTATAATGATGTCTTAATACATCTAGTGTCAACTATTCGATATCCATTAAGGGATACTATAGAAAGGACTAGTTAAGTGTTGCTATACTTTTTCAAATTGTTTGAAGATTACTTGCTTTCAAATTATATGGTGTTTGCTTTGACAAGTCCCAGACACGTACACCTGATGCTCATAACTTCAAGTCGGATTTTAACTTCAATCTCGTAGATTTGAAATCAAGTTTAAGTAACTAAACATATAAAATTTAATTTTGATTATACTTTAAATGATGATCGTAAAATCAATCGTTTGTGTATTTCGGCCAAATCTCTTTTCCAAGTCACATGTAGATAGGGTTTCAATTGATCTTTAAAAATGGAATAAATCGATCCAATCAAATTGTATCGAATAAAAAAATATATATATAAATATAGAGAGAGATATTTATATCAATTTATATTGTAATGAATAATTAGGGTATGTTCTTAGTTTTTATACAAATGAACAAAAAAAATAATGAATTATTTATATATGAAAAATAAATTTTATATAGAAAGTCTTAAAATAATAACACTCTTGGAATTATTGAAACTCTGACAAGTCAACACGTACATATATATATAAAAACTCCAATCTCAGATATACTTGCTACTCCTGTTAAAATTAAATTAATTTTAACATCTTAAATAGGAAATTATAAGAAATTTCAACGAGCTTAAATAACAAGTCATAAAGTCTAGAGTGGTTTGGCTAAAGTCTCATGTAATTAAACATTGTAAATTCTATTAACGAGATGATTATGCATGATAATATGTTTTCCATCGAAAATATTAATCAAAATATATTGATGCCAAACAATTTGAGATTTAATACACAGTTACACACATAGACAGCCAGTGACGGAAAATATTTTTCCTTTTAGTTATTTCTTAGAAAATAAGTGCATGTTTGGCGATGCTAAAAGCTATTAATTTTTTTAAGTACTTTTTAAAAATAATTTTTCAGAAAAAAGCCTTTGTAAAGAAAAAACAATTTGTGTTTGGTTAATTCATTTAAGAAGTGTTTTTTATATGCAGATGTATTCGAGTAACTTTTTTTAAAAGTACGTTTTTGAGTCAAATTACGAAAAAGGACAAATATTAATGTACTTTTAATATTCAGATTATTTTATAGAGAGAAACTATTTTAAATATCTATTACAAAAATTTAATTAAATTTATTTTTTATTAAATTAAAATGTATATATTCAAATTTTCAATCAGTATTTATACATTGATAAATAAAAAGATAAATTAAACAGCGATATAATTCCACAAAAATATTGTTACCTTTTTTAATAATCCATCAAAATAATATGTAAATGATATATAATATTTTTGTAACGACTTGTTCCCGTCGTTATGGAAAAGTCAATGGGGAAAGAATTTGGGTCGGAAAACTTTTGAGTAGGGACTTGAAAAATTGTAGCCTAGTCCAGATTTGGACGAAATCTGAGTCAGGTAAGGTCTAGGGAAATCTGGTAATGAATAGGGGATCTAATTGTGAATTTTATCACATGAGTGGATAGCGAAGATGTTAAGGAGCCCGTACAACTTTACAGAATCGAATTCGGGCGAGTAGAACCCCCGAAACTGATCTTGGCGTGAAAGGGTAATTTCTGAACATCAAGGGTTGAAGGTGTGTTATGAAATGGGAGCTTGGAACTCAAATTCCAAGCTTCTGTTTCCGTGTAAGCGGCTGGGGCGGGTTGGGGTCCGCCATAGCGGGTCAGTCGCGACTTAAGTCGGGAAAAAACCTCAATTTCGTTATTTTTCTGCAAACTTCGTTCTTAAGAGTTAGGACACAACCCAGGGCGATTTCTTGACAGTTTTCCACGAATTTTGGTGCAAAAGGTAAGGATTTTACTCCTCTAATCCGTTTTCGATCCGTAAAACTTAGATTCTTGGATAATTATCATTCGGGAAGGGTTTTGGCATGAAGTTGATGGTGGGAAAAAGCCCTAGATGATACCTTAGGATCATGGGTTTGGTCTTGGGTTTTTTGGGTTTGTTATAATCGGGATAAATAAGACCTTAATTGTTGATCATTGCGTTAAATTAATCGTTTGTAGACCAAGAACAAGCGGAAAGAATTTGGAAAAGGAAGGCTCAAGTGTCTTAGGAGGATTCAGGCTTGGTTTCAAGGTAGGTGATGGTTTGATTTCATGTTTGTATGATATATGGCGGTTAATTGCTTCGTTGTATGCATACATGTATGAGAACAGGGAATGTAAATCGAATCTAATGCAAATGAGTATATGTATATGAATAATTACATGCCATGAAACCATTGTTTGATTGTATGACTATGAGCATTGTTCATTATGGGTGTGATTGTGATTGTGGTTGTGCTGATTGGATCGGGTGTCACATTCCGACACATATATTGAATCGGGTGCCACGTTCCGACACACTAACAGTTTGGGTATAGGTTCCATAAGAGAACTACTTTTGAATGCTATGCTTATGTCTATTTGTCATTGATAATGGAAGATTGTATGTTGCTCTGAAATGATAACTGAACTGTATTTTATATATGTGTGTTTACTATGTTGTGATTGATCGTTGTATATTGTGCTTATGGGGTGGCCGCGTGATCCTACCAGTACACTTTGATTGTGTACTGATACTGCACTTGCTCGTTCTTTATTGAGTACAGGGCATCTTCAGGCGGTTACTGATCGTCCTCAGTTAGGAGATAACTGATCGAGACTGGATTAAAGGGTGAACCAGTTCTTCCAGGCTGCCATGAGTCCTCTTTGTTTAGTCCATTCTTTTCGGACTCAGAGTATCTATTAAGTTGTTATGTTTTAGTTTTCGGGATTGCACCCCTTTTCCTTAGAGTTGTTGATCGTTAGAGTTTTGGTACATTGACTTTCAGGTTCTAGGAGTTGTTTTCCGCAAATGTTTGGTAGTTGTTTTGTTTAACTTTCGAAGTTTATGGGAACTCCATTTTTCTTAGACATTTAAACATGCTTCTGTATCTTTAAATGTTCTAGTTTTCGTTAAGTTGCTTAGTTGGGTTGCAGTAATAGTTCTCCCACCGGAGGGTTAGTGTGGGTGTCAATCACGATAGTCTGGATCATGACAAAGTTGGTATCAGAGTCATAGATTCGTTGATCTCATTATACCACAACGAGTTTAGTAGAGTCTTGTGGAACGGTACGGAGACGTCTGTACTTTTCTTCGAGAGGCTATAGGACTTTAGGAAAACTCATTCCTTTCTTTCTTCATGCTATTACTTGAATCCAATTGGTATCTGGGTGATACAAATTGGTATATTTCCTCCTTCACTCTATGGTCGAAACTAGAGCAACAGAATGGTAACACCAACACTAGCAAGAGAGGATGCATCCTTCCAAATAAGCATGTTTCCCCGATTAAATGTGGGCATGTAATGACTAGTGACAAACATGAGGTTTTTTATTAGGTTCTTAAGGTTGAAACCTTCATTCTTCATGGGTATAGAATCTAAAGATTCTTATGATTTTCTTGTTGATTGTCATGGCATGCTTCATAAGATGGATACGGTAGAGTGATTTGTCGTTGAGTTTATGATATACCAGTTCAAGGGAGACACCAAAATGTGGTGGTGGTCTCATGTTGAGTTTCGATTAGTAAATGCACTACTCATGACTTGAGAAACATTTTATAGCTTTCTGTATGAAGAAGTATATACCATGAAC